GTTTTCAGAATTATTGTCGAGTTGGAGAGAATGAATGGAGCTCTCCAAGACTTTTTGAACGAGATACAAGAACTGTGTCAGGAAATGGCACCCGAACCTAGTGTGGCAGCGATGTTGGCACCGTCACATCTCCGAGAGAAATGCAAACAAGAAGCGGCAGATATGGTCGCTAAAAATAACGTAATGAGTGATAAAGAACCAGGAAAAATGAATCAATTGGTAACCGATTTGACTGCGTTGATGTTACAAGTGAAAGTAAGATAAATGATATTGTTATTGAATTTATTTTATCCCTCGCTTATCTGATACTAAAAACATAATTCCTTTATCGTAGAGCTTATCAGATTCTGATCGAAACGCATACGAGCTCAAAGTATTACAAGGTACCATAGAGCAGATAAGATCAAAACTCAGCCCACAGAATCAGCAAGTGTTTCAAAACTGCGTTGAAATTCACATGCAGCACATTCAAGTAGGCCTAGGACAGATGGGTCCTCTTACGCCGTTTATGGCGCAGAGAGTTTGAAGATGGGACAACTCGTATATTCTCACCAAATGTACAGTATACACCAAATGTAACAGACGATCACGTATCACGATATTTTTAGAAAGCAAGAAACTCTAACCTTGTATTTTCTCATCTTGTATAGATTACATTAATAATATATTGCCATGTAAAGTGCATGTCTACACAATATACATATAAGATTTAAGCTATTTTGTATATACAGAATATATTAGTTCTTTAGTTTCTTTAACGACACATTCATGAGAATTACTAGTCTAGTTTACATCATGCACTTGATATCATATACTAATTAGTAACTTGTGTATTAAATTATTTTATTTCAGCGATATATTTAAAGAATGATGTAAATTGATACAATATACATCAAAATGATTACTTAAATACACATATCATGTATATGTTTACACGTATTGCTGAAATTAAGATAATTTAATAAAAAAATTACTAGTTAGTATCCGTATCAAGTGCACGTTGTAAACTAGACCTTAGAGAAATATTTGTGTACTGTTGAATAATGTTATTGAACATATTGAATACCTAAAAATGTTCATTTTTTTTAGAATTTTATGTACTGTATGCAAAGACTCGGACCGAAACATTTCGGTCTGAAGCTAAATCTAATTTTTAATTCTAATTCTTTTACCGTAATGGTTATTCCCAAGTAGCACAGCGCTTATAAAGCGTTAACAAAGCTCTAAAAAAAGCGCATATCGCTGTTTTAGCACTTTGTAAGCGCTGCTGTGCTACTGGCTCAGTCTATTTAGATTTCGATTTTTCTCGGTGTTGGTAATTGTATACCTGTAACACCGTTATCACTAAAAAAATTAGAATCAATCCCGAAACCGAAAGCTGCGTAGCCTTTGATTATAATCATAACCATCCTTAAGTTTTAAATCATAATGTAAATTCAGTCTGAGTCTCTGAATGTATTATTCGATTATGCATAAATATAAAAGGCAATTTAAAAAAAATTCAAGCTGTATGTATATATATGTATGTATGTGTATATATATATATATATCTTTGTATATGTGTGTGTGTGTGTATACATATATACACACACACACAGTCGATTTATATAGATAACTACATAATTTGTTCTGAGAGAGGGGCTCTTCGCAGTGCAAGTGTAATTTAAAAGTTTCAACTAATTATAACGAAATTTATTGTCACGAATAAAAAATATTTTTTAATCAATTTATATCTAAAAATCATTTATGTTGATATTCTTTTCACGAACATAAATCGCTAAAAAATTTGAATCACTAAATAATATATTCTTTAATATAGATATTTGTATATTTATGTATAATTGTTCATGATTCGAATCACGTGTAATCAATCCAAAGAAAATATACTTTGGAGTAAAATGACTAATTTTGGAAATAGAATAATTTCATATAATTAAGTAAATATAACAAATGTATAAATAAACAGAGTAAAAGATTGATAATTTATAAAATGAATATTTCTTATCCTGAACATTCACTGATTATTGAATGTAACCTATTTCACAATATGTAAATTTTCTTTAAAACATAACGTAATGTTTGTCAAACTTTTTACTTATTTTATGCACCATTATAAATAAGTTTGTTATAATGAAGTTTGTTTTGTAAGATATCAGGCAATCCATATAATCTATAATACTTTTACACTTGTAATTAACTTCTGTAGTTACAATTACTTTGTAATTAACAATATAGAACATTTCAGCAGCTGTTACAAGCACAAATTGCCTCGTTCATAATATATACTATTATATTTCTACTATACATAATGTACATATATTTCCAATTATTATTATTACATTATTGATTACAATTGCAACACTCATTCCAATAATGTCATACATGTAAATTGAGACATTTTTTTTTAGAAACTATTCCATTTTTGCATTCTTATATAAAGACTTACCTTTTTACACAATATCTGTAAATAACAATTGGAAAAAATTTATCATTGATATCTAAAAAAAAAAATTTTTTTTTCACTTATTCTTCATGACGTAAGAATAGAAGATAATTTATTGCGCATGATGGTGATCGAATATGATTTTGGAGCAAATTTCTAATATCGGTTTAAGAGTGGGATTACATTTGCATTTTTGTCGTACAACAAATTTTTCAAGCCTTCCGATAGGATAAAGAGATCCAAAAACCTCTCTGACCTTTATCTTCTTCTTCTTCTTACGTTAGATCTCTGTGTTACTCTCTTATATACTTGTGGGGTGTCCATTGATTATTCAATTGTCACGAGCATATGGGACCTACAGTTTTAATGTCAGTTCCGAATGGTGGATTTTTCGAGAGGTGTTTCTGGCAAGGATATTCTTCAGGAGATTGCCAGCCTTTGAAGGTTGCCGCTCGCGCTTTATCCTGCAGCCTTTGTTGTATGACAAAAACGAATAAATGAAATATCACCTCTATATTGACTTATATCATTTTGGACTAATTTTTTGACTGATCATCTATTGCGTATCTCGAGAATGAAACACCTTGTTATCTATTCTTACATCATACATGCTTCTCATGATAATTTTAAGTTCCTAGGCAATTGCAAAATTTAGATTTTATGGAATGATGAGAATAAAGTTAAATACAAAAATCATTACGTTGATAAACAAATATTCTATGGATTAGCGTGTTTCATTCTTCAAGCTCTAAAATAACGTCAAAAAAACGTTCAAATACGTTAAGTCAAATTTCGTCTAATTTCTACTTTTTATGTTTATTTAACGCTTCCAGTAATTCATCCGCGTTTTCACTAGTTTTCACTCTTAATAGCACTGAGACTGGTGGCGGTGAAGAATCTGGCATCGGTAAGCAGACCAACATTATCGTGTTTTTGTTCATGCGCTTCGTGGGAATGCTTTGAGTCAATAGAGTATTGAGTAACAAATTACCCAAAGCAGTATTGGCTCGTACTATCAATTGCGTCTTTCCATTCGGTGTTGGTTTCAAATACAACATCCCGATGCCTCTATCAGTATAAACGCTATCTTTCTTTACGAAGACTTTACACCTATAAAAATATATATTTGATATTAAGAGATAATTTATATATTAAGAGAGTTACTTTATAATATAAAGATAACTTTTTAAAAAGTTTTGTGTAGTTTTTATTTTGATATTTGTATAGTAAGTTAAGAGAGAAATTACAATGTACAATTTACCTTTGTTCATAAGTAGCACCTTCTTCAGTTACCAGTTTGAATTCTTGTTTCGGTGGTTCTTCATCTTCTTCATCTTTATTTTCATTGCTTGCTTTGTCTTCGGTTTTCTCTTGTGGTTTTACTGTTTGAGGAGCAAATGAAAATGGCTTTGCACTGTAAATTATAAAAATGTGTTTTTGTATTTTGTTCAATATAAGATATAGTAAATAAGTTAATGAACAAATTACCTTCCGAAACTAAATCCAGCAGACACGTTACTGGTAGTAGAACTCTGTCCAAAACTAAAAGTGGGAAAGGTAGGAGCCACAGACTTCGCGTTAGAGGATGTCTCCTCCTCATCTTTATTTCCACTATCTGAAATGGTAGATTTGTTTGCGAAGGAACTACTTTCCACATTTGTATTGCCAAATACACTTTTACTCGCAACGTTTGACTCTGTGCTTCCAAAAATAGACTTATTCTTATCAGGAGTTACATCTGTACTACCAAACACAGATTTGGAATTTTCTGTTTTCTGTTCTGTATTACTAAATACAGATTTGGTATTCGTGGTGATGTTGGAAAATATTGACTTCTCAGGTTTTAATTCTGTTCCTGTGATTAAAGTAGACTTTGCATTCGCGTTTGAATTTCCAAACAGTGACTTTTCTGGTTTCTTTTCTGAACTTATCTCTTTAATATCATTCTTTGCAGCCTGCGTTATATGCTCCGAAGAGGTATGCGAAATTTGTGTCTTGCTACTTTCTTCTTTTGATGTAATTTCTTTCAAATATCTCTCATAATCCTTAAATATAGGTGTTAATATACAAAATGGATTTGCATCTACATGGCTCTTTATCCATGTAGCAACGCTTTCATTCAGTCCTTTCAATTTTGCGTAATAATCCGACGAGTGACTCCTTGTCTTTTCAGTTCCTTGTTCAACTGAATTTTTTTTGCTCGTACTTGTACTTGATGTTTGTAATTTGTAATGGGCAAAATCCTCTCTTTTATCTGTATCAATTTCGGGAATCTTAGGAGCACCGTTGCTAGCAGTCTGCTTGTTACTTGTATTTACAGTCGTTGCTGATGCAGTAGAAGTAGTCGTACTAGAAGTAGTACTTGTATTAGCTAAAAAACCGAATGGAGATAAACTTGGATTAGTTTTGAAACCTGCAAACGACCCAAATGCACTTTTCGTTGGAATTCCCTGAAATAATTAACAGTGATAAAGGCAAGAAAATTCAGATAAAAAAATAGTCAGGACATATACTTACATCCTTTGATGGTAAACGACGCCTTGCTGTTTTTATAACTCTCTTCTCAAGTATATCATTTGAAGCCAGCGCAAACACTCCTGCATCCTCCGGTTCGTTCTCCTCATTCCAGTTGTCGTGATTCAATTCTGTTGTTGCAGTTCGCTTACCTGACATTTCTGCTATCTGATATACTTCATACATAAATAAAAAAGAAATCATATCAGTGACAATAAAATAAATATATTACTCTAAATATAAACGTTTAATTAACATTTGAAAATAAAATTTTATACAAGCAAAATGCTACAACCAATGAAACTATTAGAAACAAGGAAAAGCTAAAATTTATTGGACATTGGATAGTTCAAGATGATATTCATTTGCAGATTGAAAAAAATATTTTTTTCAAAATTACGTGGAAAACTGTAACATATGAATTTTTATTTTCCGTGAAATATAAAATTAAATAAAAAAATCGGAGATACATTGATAGAATTCATTTATGTGATGCAAAACGATTCAGTCGATATCACATTGCCAAATCAGGTTATGTTTCAAGCGCTATCATTCCGGTGTTTCTCGTGCACGAATCGTAAGTTGAAATTACTTCTATAGATGCTCTGGAGTGAGTAATTCTATTTTAAAAAATTGAAGAAAACGCAAAAATATATGAAAGGTTACTGTACAATCTTGCGGTGACGAACAATTGATATCGATTTTTATTACACTCACCTGAAATCGAAGAAATTGCGTTTGCCGCGGCGACTTCGACATCGACGTCTCGTCTGTGAAAATAAAGACAATAAAAGAGAGCCA